CCAGGCTGGATTTGAACCTGCCACCTTAGGTGTATGTGGCTGGCACCTTAGCTACTTGAGCCACAGGTGCCGAGCCAAATCTTTCTTTCCTAATCTGTCACTTTCCCATACCTATCAGTCAAGCTTTGGTCAGATCCCACCTCCTGATAAAGCCTTCCTAAGTTCCAGGAAGTGTTATCTTTGTTCTTTCACACTCATTTAGCACTATTATTTTTACTTTTTAAGTGTTCTTTTTATCCAGTCAGACTGATTGTGCCTATTTGTTAATATATTTTTGCATAACCTGTATGAATTAATTATATGCACAGTTACATATACAGGTATAATAAGAGAAGCCCAGGTAAAGGGCTTTGGAATCTCAGGAGAAACAGACATTAATAGTCACTTGGTATGGAACTAACTCTTGGACTAGGCCTAGAAGAACAGGTGTGACTCAAGTAAAAAGAGATCGGCAGGTCTTCCAATTGAGAGAAGAAGGTCAGAGGTAAAATCCCTAAAATAGACAATCGGGGTTCACATGAAGAATGTAAGTGATGTCATGTGATTGGAGCCCATGTTGCTGAAAGAACATGATTGGAGATGCCCTGGAAAAGGTCTCTTGGGACCAGAAGATGGAAGACTTTGTGGGTCACCTAAAGAGGTTTTGTAATAGAGGAGATATGAAAATCTGTATATTCCTTCGGTTATGTATTATCTGACCCGTTGTAGAAAAACATTAGAGGGAAATTATACGTTTATTCGATCCAGTCTATTGGATGATTGGTTTAACACTTGTTTGCAGTATGTTACAGGATAGTGACAACTTTGACAGAGAGAAGGATGTTCTTAGCATATCAAAAGATACTTTGTCAAAACCTGAGAAAATTACTGCACAGGAGCCTAATCCAGAAACCAGCACAGATTATGACGGTATGGTACGAAAGTATTTTAAATGTATCACATGTTTCAGCTACTTACTTTTGAAAACAAAATAAGGTTATCTTTTCAACCTGTGGCTCTCAATATTATAAAATGGAAGATTTATAGTCCTTGTTCTTTTCACATTGTAGAATCATCCCTGTTCATTGGTTAGCCAGCATTTGCTCCAACAACTCATGTGCTCCATAAGGTAGTTGAGTCTCTATCTTGAAAACACTGCTTGTTAGAATTATTTTGCAAATTGAGCCAAAATCTACCTCTCTGTAACTTTAACCCTTGCAAGATAAATATAAAGCTCCTAGGAGTTTTATTTTTCTCCCAGGCTAAATATTACTAGTCAAACTCTTCTTTATAAAAAAAAAAGACTTTATAGGTCTTTTTTTGGAGATAGAATCTCATTCTGTCTCTCTGGATAGAGTGCTGTAGAGTCATAGCTCACAGCAACCTCAAACTCTTTGGGCTTAAGTGGTCCTTTTGCCTCAGCCTCCCAAATAGCTGGGACTACAGGTGCTGGCCACAACACTCAGCTAATTTTTCTATTTTAGTAGAGATGGGGTCTTTCTTTTGCTCAGGCTGGTCTCAAACTCCTCAGCTTAAGCAATCCTCCCACCTCTGCCTCTCAGAGTGCTGGAATTATAGGTGTGAGCGATTGCGCCCAGCCTGCTTTCTCAGTATTTCTGTACTGCATTGTATTCTTCTATTTGATAGAAGCTATACTATTCTTATGGTGTATGTGTCTGCATGTATGTAATATTCTGCATGTTGTTTTTGTGTCTTCTGAATTTTTTATTTTGGACTCTTAAATTATTGTTAAACATGTTCCTTTTTTTTTTGGAGCTTTTTGGCCGGGCTGGGCCTGAACCCGCCACCTCCAGCATATGGGACCGGCGCCCTACTCCTTGAGCCACAGGTGCCACCCTGTTCCTATTTTTTATACCTGATATACAAATAAGAGATGTTCCTAAAAATATCTGATGTTTTCTAGTCACTCTGGTAAGTGCCTTACAGTTAACCAGTCTTATCCTCACAGCAACTCTCTAAGGCTTTTTTAGTTTGTTTTATTTTTTGAGACAGAGTCTCACTCTGGTGCCCTGGGTAGATGCTGTGGCATTATAGCTAACAGCAACCTCAAACTCTTGGGCTCAAGCAATCCTCTTGCCCCAGTTTTTTTGTTTTTAGTAGAACCAGGGTCTTGCTCTTGCTCGGGCTGGTCTTGAACTCCTGAGCTCAAGCAGTCCACCCACTTCAGCCTCCCAGGGTGCTGGAATTACAGGTGTGAGCCACTGCTTGGTGCAGGGTATTTTTTATTGTCTCCATTCACAGATAAGGAAACTAAAATACAGGAGTGTTACATAAGTACACATGATCATACCGTTAACAGCAGAGCTAGGATATGAACCCTGTAGTCTTGAGGCACTTGAGTACTGATAACAACTGTACTATATTGTCTCTATTTCATCAAGTTTCTCTGATTATGTGGTAGCTAGGACAGTCATTAGAGGCCTCCTTCTCAGTTGACATTGATGCATTCATCATTTCTTTCTTTCTTTTTTTTTTTTTTGCAGTTTTTGGTGGGGGCTGGGTTTGAACCCGCCACCTCCAGCATATGGGGCCAGCCCATATGGAGCGCCTGCCCCACAGGCATCGCCCAATCCATTCATCATTTCTTATCCAACCAGTTACAAATCTGCAGACCATGTTTGTCTCCATTGTCTTTGGGGATGCAAAAGACTCAGTCACATGACTCCAGAAAGTTCAAGATCCAAGGCAGCCAGAGGGAATAGGTAGGGCCTTGGCTGTTAATGCAGACCTATGGTTAGAGACCTGCCTCCTCCTCCTGGCTGTGTGGCTGTGGCAAACTTCTCAGGACTTCAGTTTTTACTTCTATGAAATGAGGATAATAATGTCTGTCTTGCTGGGTAGTTTTCAGGATTCAAGATAAAGTACTTAGTACACTGTAAGCCTTTGATAAATGGTAGCCATTGTATCTGCCTGTCTAGTAATCCTTTCAGGGAAAGAAATACATTAAGATGACTGTTTTTATGAACTCTGGTTAACTACATAATTTTTTTTCCTCTCCATAGAGCTCATAAACCAGATAATTAGATTACATGTTCTAGAATTTTACTTTGAATTGACATTAAGATCACCAGCCTGTAGCTTTTGGCAGTCACTGTCAGATTTTTTTTTGAAAATTAGAACATTGTCTTCACTTTCCGCACGTGTTGGTGACAGGGGTTCTGAGATCTTGTCTGTAGTTTTCCATTGTATTCTTAGGTGTAATCTTTCTGGACAAGGAGACTCGAGCTCCTTTCTGGTAGCTATCTAGGTACTCTTGTATCTCTCTGAGCCTGACTTGGTTCTCGTTTCCCTCACATGGCCATGTATTCTCTTTACAGTCTGATGCCTATTCTCCTTGCAGAGAAAACAGAAGTGAAACAATTCAGCAGTTCCACTTTTGCCATCTTATATCTCATGTCCTTGTTTCCTTCAGTCGTCGTAGAAGTCCAGGGGCTCATTCCCTGCAGGTGCTTGTTCCTATGCTGCTCTTTACACCTCTGCTCTGTTCTCTTTCCTTCTCTTTCCCCCGTAGCCTCATTCTCTTATCCAGACGTTTCCCTGTTCCTCATTGTCTGCTGAGAATACTTTTTCCCCTGCAGCCCACCTAAACTGGCGTTTTCTCCCCCATACACACTTTGGGCTTAGAGGAGGAATAGGCATCTTCCTTGCTTCCTGTTGACACCTAAGCCGTTTTTTTGTTTCTTTCCTCTAGAACCCAAACTCTTTTGAGGTTCTATTTAGAAGTTGCATGGCTTAGTAAAAAGATGGGAGCAGGCCAGCAGGCCTCTTATGTCCTAACATTGTCATCAGGAGTTCCTCTCTCTGGCACACTTGCTTTCTCTCTCCTCTCTTTTGTCCGGTCTCTCCATCTCAGACATTTCCTTTATCTGTTCTACTTCCCCCTGTGTTGGTCTTATTTACAAGCTGTCTTTCCTTGCATGGTGGCAGAGATGGCCACAGAAGCATGTGAAGCTCATTATAAGAGGTGCTC